CTACGACGACGACTACTACTACCGCTCCTTTTTATTCCTACTCCTACTCCTACTTCCGCTCCAACTCCTACTCGTGCTGCTAATACTACTGCTCCTCCTCCTGGTGCTGTTACCCCAAATCCAGACCCCGCAACATCAGTACCAGTAGAGCAGATGGCGGAAGCTAAGTTCAAGCCGTCCCTGACTCTATCTCAACCACATCCAGCCAAGACAAAGCGGCAACGACACCTCCAAAGGCGCGACACCAGCACGTGCAGAAGGCACGGGCATAGCCCCGATAGTGTCACTGGAAACCGAGCTCTTGAGCTGCAGAGCTGTCGAAAATCTCGTCCACGGAAGGGTTCTAGATTCTAGGCAGTGTAGGACTCGGAATCAATAAGGCCATGATTGACAGATTTCTTGTGGACTAAGGCTCTTGCTTGAAAAGCTGCGGAGCCGTTGTGCCAAGAGAAGCCGAACAGGTATGCAACCACAACTTTCAGTGCCCTTGGACTGTGATTGCTGTACATCTTAACCTCATCGGGATTTCTTGCTGGTGCCGGCATATTATCAGGACGGTGAATGCGTCGACACTGGATCAAGACGACAAGCTCGCGAGTACCTGCAACTGCCAACCACAGACCTTTTCGGATGCGCCGATCGCACGCCTCTTAAGAGCAGGTAAAGCTATTGCAGATTAGAACATCATCCGGAAAGCTAACTACAGGCTTAAAAGAGAAAAAGGACACTCATTTCCGGGTCCCTGGCCAACAGGAAGCAATGGTGCCGGCGACACCAACTTTTAGCGACCGGTATACTGTGTCTTTGCTCTCAACCAGCCCCAGCCTAAAGCCCTAGAACGCTGCATCTAAGATCCCACAGCACCGGGTCGCTCAGCCTTTCGGCCTTCTCAGACCTTGCCCCTCGGCTAGCTTCCACCACTCGGACCAGCTTCGATGGCCATTGCCTGTACAACACCCACTCCATGCTTCTGTGGTCTTGGCGCTCACCTTCTGATTCTACTGCCCGACTTGAAGGCTTTAGATGTCAATGGACCTTGGAGAGCCACCAAACCCAATAGTCTTCATCGTTGTAGTTCGGGTGATCGGCAGCTCGGGCTTGATAAAACAATCCAAGAGGCAAATTCCGAGCATCGTATACTCATAGCTATGGTATAGACTACCGTTTACTATAGTCGGGCATGGATGCCTGGAGTGCATGACACGATCTCCATTGGGGCTGAGCGCCTGAATCCCTGAGCCAGTAGCGAACACGAGGAATGCACCGACTCGAGAAAATCTGCCGATCTTCCGTTTGGTTCTTCAGATTCCGTTCGGACTGGTCATGCGATATACCCTTCTACCCGTCCTACTTCAACAGAGCCTGTCGCTTCACGCAAAGCCTTGGCCAGGACCCTGAACTGACCATTGCTTGCAGGTAGCGAACCTCCTTCCATGGCTTCTTCGCACCTGGGCAGGGCTAAACAAAGAAGCTCGGGCTCTGGGAGCCTGAAGCTTGATTCGCCAATCTCATGATCAGCGGCATCAGTGTCTATCGTTGTCAGTGCTGACTATCAGAAGTCGGCTCTTCCCGGTTTTGGAAGGTAGCACAAACTACTGTCGGAGTTGTAGCTAGTGGCAGCGGCAAGCAGCACTTGCGAGCATCCCTGAGAGCCTTGGCTCTGCTTGCACTTATCCTGCAGCCCGTCAGTCAAGTCCAGCATCTGCTGCTTATGGGCCTGCACATCCGGGCGTCTCAGAAGCTCCGTGCTTTGCGGTCTTTTGAAAAGATGGGGCTCCCCTACCTGCCGACAAAGCCGGAGCTATAAGGCGTCAAATCGGCAGCTTGTTGGAAGCTTCACATCTGAAGGTGGCGATGTGCAGTTGATGCGATTCGACTTGAAAGGGCGAGTTCCTTCCCGAAACACCCGATACCGTCTGGACAACAACAGTCCAGATGGCTGTGAGCCAGAAGTAGAAAGAAGATCTTCTCACGCCTCGAAGCTGGCCCGCAGGAAGCCGAAGTGGACCTCTTGCTCCTGAAGCCTTCGACCAACGACTGGCTGCAACGAACAGAAAGGGTCACGCTTGATCCCTTTTTTCAACATGACCCGAGTTGTCCAGTGCATGCAGTACTGCAAAGGTTACCAGTACCTGCTACTGCTACTGCTCCTGCAACCACTTAATCTCCTGCTCCTCCTGTTACTCTTCCTCCTCCCACCACTGCAACCGCCATCAGTCGCAGTGCTAGCACCAAGATCATCTCCAACAAAACCAGCAGCAAAACACAGACGGCAGGTAAACAAAAACCACGACGACGACGACGACGGCAGCGACCACCACCACGACAACGACTACCCCTGCTGCTGCTGCTGCTCCTACTGCTCCCGCTCGACCTGTTTAACCGCCTCCGGCTACGACGATTGCTACCGATGCGGTTCTTGGTCGTAGAATAGTACCTCTGTGCAGGGTTTAAGACTCCACAACTCCCGAGTTGTGGTGAGGTACGTTGTACATCGTTGTATCGTCAAGTTTCGTTAACCCATCAGTCAAGCTGGAACGGTCGGGATCCTAGTCACAGTTTGAAAGCTGACCGACTTTTCACAGAAAGCCCACATGCTCTGAATCCCGAATCCCGGCTCTGGCCCTGGCAAATCAAGGTGCCTCGGGAAGTAGACTTGGCATTGCTCCCACAACTGCTCCAAACGCCTCGCCACCTCTCGGGCTGGAAAGTCAGCGTCAGAAGTTTTCAATTTGAGAAGTTTGGCTGAGGCTCTTGATTCAATTTGACATCGGAGTGGCTGCTGCAAGCACTGGCCTATGCGCTTGTGCACAATCACCAGCCCTGACACGAGTGGGCGAAGGCCTCCGGCAATCTTTGTGCGAGGTGACGTAGCCTTGGGATCTCACGAGATCCACACTCGCTAGAGTGTCCTGTTACTGGTAGCCATGAAGAATCTACTCAGCTGCACCGACTCAACAATCAAGGGTTGTTGCGACTGGCAGCACTCCAACCCGAAACCCATGGCGCCGGGGGCACAGCGCAACTTGTTGTTCGTCTTGTCCGCCCTAGACAGGAGGGTCTTCAATGCTGCAGCTTCTCAGACTTCGCTAGAGACTGGGGGATCCTACAGGCTCCATGAGACAGGATGGCCTGAGCCGCAAGGTGCCGCAGACCCTCAAATCCCACATGATCCAACCTGTAGCATGTCCAGGATTTGCCCGTGTTCTCCGAGCCCACCTTCGTGCCAGGACTGGACTTAGAGACTTAGATTTCGAGACAGACAAAGAAAGCTCTGACACTCCTCGCCCAAGCATTGACTGTTGTCTTTCGAACTGATGGAATTTGAAGGGCTGCTGCCTTGTACCAGAAGCGGATGGGCTTCCAGCACCCAAACCCTGGAATTCTCACTTGGGCGTCGGCGCTCGAGCCGAGCATCCAGGCCTTCGAGTGCCAAGGCCTGGCAGTTCGATCCGCAGTCGGCCAGCCTGGTTGTCCACTAAACCTGTGGGCCGCTTGCAGATTCCTTACACAGGGATGGTGACCCGCCTTCACCTCAATTGTCTTCTCCATCTGAAAGGCCTACTGTCACTAGCCCTGCTTCGAGGCCACCGCAAAGCTCTCGAAAGTGCGGGACTGCTGGCGTTCCTGCAGATGGCGGTTGGATGCTATCGGTACTACTGCTAGGACTGTACTACCAGTAAGTAGTTGTGCCTGTGTCTCTGGGCACGCCAGCATGTTTCAATTGCTTCGACCCCACCAATATGCTTGAGTACTCTCCTGATTGGGTGTCCGAGTGTCAAGTGTTTGTGCCCGAGTGTGTAGCTCTGTGCACGTGTGTGTTTGTGTGTGCGTGTGTGTGTTTGCTTTTTGTTGTTGTATGTTGTCAATGTATGAAAACATATAAAAATGACAACTGGAATACTTCCTGCATTCATTCATTTGTCTATCGATTTCATCGTCACACCCCTACCGCCAAATACCCACACCCTTTTTCTTTCCGACTATTAATCTAAAGTCGTCTGTCTCTGCAAGCTTCCTTCTTAGCATAGGCTTACACAATATTTTTTGGATTCATGAAGATCAGCAAAATTTCGAAACCAACTCCTCATTCTTGCTTTGCGTTTGTCTTGCGGATCTACCACTTGGTTGTCTATAAAGGAAAGAAACAGGAGGGCCCGTTCAGACAACAAGAAGAAACACGAGAGGGCTTGTATTTCTTCATCCTGATTTTAGTACAAGCTGTCCTCTTCACGAGACAAAGCAGATCGTCTCTTTGAGTTAAAGCTCCCCTCGAAAAATAGAAACATGAATTGGCTCCCTTAGCTCTTCATGACCGATGAAAATTGAAAAAAAAAACTACTGTTCCGAATGCGAAGTGAGACATTCGTTCTTCTTGAAAATATTGGGACGGTAAATCCCACATTTGGCCGTAAACACTCGCTGCTCGCCAAGAGGCTTTAGAAGCAACTAAAACAGCTCATCTTACGAGGAAAAGCATTGCTGACCAAGCACCGAAATGGTTTGCGAAATCGAGCATTGATCAAAATCGACATTATAAAGAAAATGGCGAACTTTGAGTGTTTGCTGAACCTCGGGAACTTGCCAAACATGACTGCGACGAAGGCTCCACACATACACACACACATACACACATAACAAAGGCAAATAAATGAACTACACGAGAGGGGAATGTATGTATGTATGTATATATATATGTCTATATATATATATATACATACATATCTGGATATGTAATTATAGGTATGTGTACAATAGCATATGTGTGTGGGGGCTCGTACGTATGCACTGCATGCATGTACATGCAAAAATGAGTATGCGTGCTTATGTGTATGTATATATATATATCTCTGTATACATACATACACATGTACACACACATATATGTATCTATATATATATAGATATATATACACACAGCTTTTCTTTGTGAGATTTTCTGGTGGTCTCAGCATCTGACAACATCCGATGGGTACATACGCATATACAAACCACTCCTACACATCTTTGTATGTAGAAATATGTGTACATGCTATGGAAATACGAGACGCGTTGCGTTGTATTCACGAGGCGTTTGTTCATATCTGTGGCCATGAGTTTTCGTTCATCCATCCATTGCTGATAGTTGCACCTGTGTGTCTAGCTGCATTCCTCACGCTCACTAGCCGTGAGTTTCTTGAGTAACGGAAGATGTACATGCATGCGTGTGTGAAGTCACACAGACAGATGGTAAAGCGCGCCCACACACAGACCTGCATACATGACCACCCATTCTGATAAATGTGTCTTGCTGCATGTAAGTACGTATGTATATATGTACATGTTTGTTGACACACACACACATACGCACACTGTCGTTCAGACACTTGCGCGGGTACTTGCGTGATCTTCTAATTGGTGTCCTCAAGTCCTCAAGTTGTTCACTGAAATACATGTCGGTTTACGTCTTTGGCTATGTCTATCGACCCGTCTGTCCATCTATCTACACATATATGTATATATATATATATGCACCAGTGGTTGTATGGAGTCACAGAGGCTCCTGGTTCTACGAGACCAAGATGTGATTGCAAACTTCAGACATCCGAGGAAACCATGAACACATGTGTCGAACTGTAGTGGAATGAAAGCAGTAACGACATTGCACTGAAGCTCGCTCTGCGTGCCTGGTGCTGGTCCATGAGGTTCAAGGTCGTCACTTTGCTTTTGTGATCAACCTGGGACTGAACCTGCAAAATCCGCTGGTCAAAACTGGGCGACGCAGTCAACTGCACACAGACGCGGCTTCTTGAGAATATCTGAAGTGCGGAGGTCTGAGAAGGCATCCTTGTCAATGTGAGACACACGCACACACACAGACAACTCTCTAGACACAAGTCAGGTACCGAATACAACGGACCTGCAACAATGTACGACATAAATAAATATCACAATATCAACACGGCCAATGTACCGAATACAACCGAGCCATCGTCTTTCCATGCAACAAAACACCACCGAATGTCCGAAGCTGCAATCACGATCCATATTGCAGGAAGCACCGTCTAAGGCAGCCTCAACTACAAAGCACGTGAAGGCTTGAACATCAGTTGAACAGCGGTCCATAATCTGGCGTCGAATGATTTCCAGCATGGCTGCTGATCTCCGGACATGACCGTTGATTTCCACTTGGTTTCGACTTGAACATGTTGTCAAATCCTAAGTGATTTCCAGACCTCCTACACAAGAGCGCCATCACGCCGCATATTTCGACGTAAAACGGCGGGACCTCATGAGGGAGCTCCAACCGTACACAACTTTCTAGACACAAGTCAGGCCGGTACTGCGAGACCCAAGCTTGATGTGGACGCCGACCAGCAGGTCGTTAATTATGGGTGCATGTCTGCATGTGCATTCATGGCAAAAACTTTCAGACTGCGATATGCTCTCATGTCAAGTTGAAAAACATGAAAAAATGCTTTGCTCATGCCCTCGTGTGCATGCACTCTTGTCACAAGACAATCGTGGTCACAAGCTGCACCCTCGGTGCCCATGCTGGACACTGCAGGTACGTTTACCTGTCTCAGATTACGGAGCTTCGTTGGCAGAGGTCGTGAAATGAGACCCTCTGCCCCATGCAACATCAATGTCAACAACGCACACAATCTGACAAGTTCAAGGTGCAAGGTTTTTTCGCATGCACAGCAGGATAACACAAATATCTCTCAGAACTGCACCAGTCACGGAAACGTCGTGTGAAGAGACCTCCAACCCAAAAAGGGCCAGCACACCTGCCTGGGCTGCCAAACCATACAGGTGCGCTTCGAGCTCATCTACCTCACATCGAGAGCAGCTTGGAAGACCCACCGCACATCAGGATTTATTACGATCTGTTGTGAAACTTGGAGAGGATAGCAGCGGGACAACATGCTTCCATCCAACTTGAGGATTCGATTGTTGGATTTTCGAACGCGGGGCAACCGCCGCAAGCCGAACTTCGTGCTTTTGCCTTCTCTCGGAGCTCTTCGCCATAAGCCAAGGCCTCGGCATGGCTTGCGGCTTACGGCAGAGAGAAGCTAACTTCAGATGGATCCTGAAATCCAGCGTGTCGCTTGAACATGCTCCTGGGTTCCGGCAGCATGAGGTTCGCCCTTGCCTCAGTCCGAACTAGCCAAACATTAGGTGGCTGTACGTGGCAAGTGGATGCCATCATGTGTTGCTCTGTCATCGCTCGACCAAGTTCCAAATACAGGGAAGCCAATATGACCGTCAGTCAAGACATGGAAGATGCACACGAAGCAATGAATCCTGATTTCGAAAGAACCTCTAAACTGTAACGTCTAACGTCAAAATCCGTCCCACCAGCAAAACCTTCTGAAGCAACGAAAGCACGCATGCCGATGCTCAGTGTTTTTGCATTGCACCACCGCAAACTTTGGTATGAGAAGCCCGGACATATGTGTATCCTGCTCTGAGCACCACTCCTCTCGAATCAAGCCGAAACGTCCCCGGGCACTGCATATGGCAACTTGATTTTAGATGTACGCAACACGGAGTCGGGAAGTTGGAACTTGCTCTCAGCTCGCCTGCGATGGCCCTCAGCTCCTGCTGCTGATGCGAGAGTGCCTGCGGCCGTCCGGTGAAGCAAGGACTCCAGGCAAGCCTTTCCAAAGGTGCCCCGAAGCAAACACCCCGACAACCCCAGCATTCTTCAGCCAAGATCTACTTGGCACATAAGCGCACACACCACTTCTCAATCCCTCACACACCTGCAGCTCGCAACTACTTTCCTGCTCCATCATGCACGAGTGTGCACATGTTCCCCCACCCAAGTGCCTGCAGCGACGCACCAGCGTCATGGACTCGCTCTACAAGGTGGTCGCAGATGCTTAGAACCTGACCAGCCCAACATCGCCCAATGCAGCTGTTCATCCCTCATAGTAGCGTCGGGACCTGACAAGCACAAGCCGAACGAACCTGACTAAACCGCTCAAAGCCCGCCACCGGCCTTATGTAGCCGCTGGTCCTGGCGACATTGTAGGATAAGCGCCATTCGGATCCGTTTTTGTTTTCAAAGAGTCCTCGCGACGGTCTGCAAATCAGGGGACGCTGAACAAGTTCGACACCCAAGGACGGCAAGTGTCCATGCAATACCCAATTTCATCCGAAAGATTTGTGCAGGACCCGCGGGGCTAAGGTAAGCTTCCTTTTGCAAACAACTCCTAGGACCTCTAAGGCAAAAAACCAGCGACCGCCCTAGGGTCCTGTTCCGAAAGACGCTGCTGATAGTCCTCAGGCCTCATCGAGTTTTGACTGAGTGTAATTGAGACTCCCGCAAGCAGGTTGATCTGTTGATTACAGCTGATTTTCAAAAAACGCATATATACATTGCCTACATACACAAAAATGAAAGTAGATGCCATGTAAACCAAACGACATGTTGATCTTGTACTTTCCCATGCACAGTGTGGCAGACTCGTTGGCTGACACACTCAATTCTGAAATGCGCTGCTTTTTTGCTTTTCATGGTGTTAGTGTCCAGGTTGGACGCAGCCGCGGTATATTCTGAAATGCACATACGTACAGACGGTGCATATGCATGTGTATATGTATGTATATGTATGCAAGTATGTATGTGCATATGTGAATACGTATATATACATATATACGCATGTAGATATGTACGTATGTATGTATGTATGTATGTATGTATGTATGTGTGTATATGTGTACGTGTGTATGTGTGTACGGTGCAGTATACGGTACAGTATACGACGCCGTCTGCGTACAGTTGCTCTCATACACACACTCGTACATGTACGGTGTCACGAGGCTCAGGGTGGATTTGCGTTAGAACCTGCCCATCCCTTCCACACCGGGTGAGCTGCATCTCGAGATCCTCCGCCTTGCCAAACCATTTCTCAAACTCCTCCTCTTGTTCCAAGTCGTCCTTCGCCGCTTTGGGTGTAAAGTTCAGGAGAACAGACTCCGGAAGCCACAAAGTACACGGCACGGCATTTCGGAGAATTGGGGACGAGCGAACTCAGGGAGAGCCAAACACGGATTCGTGCCAACCCGCGCGCCTGCTTCTCGCGCACGGACAGTGCCACGCGCAGGGCACGGTGGGTGCCCAGCGCCAGCTTTCGGTGCGAATGCTCCAGGCTGGTCAACCTCACAAGGAGCTTGTGGAGGTTGGAGCGGAAGGCTTGCAGCGATTGGAAGGTTCCTTATTCTAGGATATGGCTGATATGGCATTGGTGCGATTGAGGTCCAAACCTACAGGCTCAAATTTCGCTCATCGGGTTGGAAGCTTCGAGGCTAACGCTGGGCTGGAAAACTTGAGAATTGTGGCTCCGGGCTGGTGTTTACATGGACTTACAAGACGACGGACCAGAGGTCTTGGTTCTGAGAACTCGCCTGTTAGTTGCAAAATCACCAATAGGTACCAAGACTTGTCGACCCCACCAACCTCTGTTGACAACCGAGCCCAAAAGTACGGAGTCTGATCAGGAGCTATCTCGGGATTGCCGATTGCCCTCTCATGCCGCTTCAACGACGGGAACGGGCGGGACACCAAAACGGATCGTTCCCGGCCTCGTCTCGAGACGGGTCTCTGCGACTTCGGTCCCTGCAGAGGCAAACGATCCCTCGAGTGCAAGATCCTGCAAACTGCACCAGCTCAGGCATCGGTCACAAGTACCTAGAGCTTCTGGGACAGCCGCCTGCGGCTGTACTGAGTTTAGGCTCTCTGAGTTTGCGCTCATGCGATGGAATTGCGACATGTTGATATCTTTTGCTGTCTTTGATGCTCCTTGGAAGAGGAAGGGGCTAAGTCAATACTCAGAAGCTGCTGCAGGAAGCACTTCAGTTTGAAGTCAAAACACGGCAGCACAATCTTTGCACGGCAGCACAATCTTTGGTCGTGAGCTGTACCAGCATTGCTGACGACCAAATGCCAAAAAGTGCAGGAGACCTGCCTTCCTTCCACGAACGACTTCATACTGCAGCATCGAAAACTCACGCACCCTAACAGTCTGTCGGTACACGTCAGCCAGCCAGAGTAAGAGTACCGCGATGCTTGCACGAAGTTCAAGCGGAAGACACGCCCAAACACTGCCGTAGACGACTCAATGCCAAGAAGTCCGCAGAAACGACTCCGCCCGCATGCACACTTCCCTCGTGCCCCGTGGCCTTGGGATGTACCGAGGCCGAAGACTGCCAGCCGGTTTCCGGCGGCCTCGGAGGTTCTTCGCTTCGACTCAAAAGTTCTACTATCCCCTATACTATGGAAGGCACCTTCTGTCGACGGCCTGATGTAAGGGTCTGAACATGTGATGGCTTGACGGCTGCAGTTCCCCAGCGGGAACAGCTTCGCTTCCACCTGCTCTTCCTTCGGTTAAACAAACTTCCAAGGCAGCGGCAGCCTCCAGCCGGGCACCCAACTGCTCCACATATTGCTGCTGCTCCTGCACCCGCGACAGGAATTCTCAAGAGAACAGCGATTCGTAACAACATGTGATATAACTTCTCTAGAGAGATGCAGATACTTATAGCGTCACACAAGACAGGCCGTAGATGATAGGTCACACCCAAAAAAGAGAGATTGGTAGATGGATAAACAAACTGACAACGAGCTATCAGTTTAGAAGTAGGCAGAGGGTGAAGCTAGATAGATGGACAAATAGAAAGATGCGCACACAAAAAAGATAGACAGGCAAATAGACAGAGAGTTAGGTAGGTAGGTAGGTAGGTAGGTAGGTAGGTAGGTAGATACATAGACAAGTACATAGTAGGTGGGTACACGCATGCAGATGAGGGTGCAGACACACACAGGGAAGAACCTACATGCACAATGAATGTGTATACATGCATATGTACAAATATACATACATGTCATATGCATTCATTCATACAGATATAGTATCGTCAAACAGAGTTGCATATACCATACCCGAATACATGTCGATGCATGTGCGGATAAAGCTGCATGTGCGCAGATTCAGGCAGATGTACACAGATATGTCTGTGTGTTTGCGTCTCTCTCTGTGCATGTATGTGTGGGCAGGTGTACACTTTCCTGGTGCATGTGTATGCATGCGTGCATGCCTGCACATACGCATACATACACATACATACGTA